CTCCTATTTGCTCTAGATCAGTTGGTTGATTCAATAATAGTTGGTATTGATAATCATCGATGTCAGATGTTCACTTGGTATTTTTACCCCTTGACAATTTGTTGATAACACCCTCTTGAGCATGCTGCAGAACTGGAGGGTGCTTTTATTTACCTGTACATTGGAGTCTCATTTTGCTGCATTAGTATGGTTTTACATCTTCTAATGCTAATTGCTAGGGCATATGGCATCAAAATGAGGACAGCAGCTTTAAGTGATCACAATGACAACTTGGATTATGTGGCTCTTGTGGTATTTGATATCTTTCCTTATCCCAAACTGATCTGAGGAAACCTGGCAATCTCTTGGCCCAAGGTACTCAAATAGCCCTTTCTGGAAGAGCCAAAGGAGGGAGTGGGCTTTCGGAGGAAATGTGAGGTTGGGAGAAAAAAGACAGTAAGGCATTGCCTTTCTTTGGCAGCAAGTATTAGAGCAGTTGCCTCTGGAAGCAAAGGCAAGCTGTAATAGAAGGACATGGCTAGTGTGTGCGCTGGTGCAAGCGGGATGTAGGAACAACCACAAAACCATGGATGAAATGCAAAGAGTAAATTTGTTTTCGTTACCTCACCAACCAGAGGATCCGTGAAGCAGCACCTGGGCAGAAGCACATAAGCAGGGATACAGGTAGTGCTGAGCTCAGTCCATGCTAGAGGACTGCCGACCCTGCTGGTTTTGCCTGTATATGAGGGATTCACACAGGCATAGTTTACCACTGTCTTTTGGCCTTTCCCACAGCAGGGTAGGAATCTCAAGCATCTTCAGTAGGGTGCCTCAAAGTCTGTCACAGGCCTGTGTTATCTAACCACGGGTGTTCTGCTTGTCCACACACAAGGCCAAACAACGATTAGTATGATACCTGTGTTTTTCGACACCCCAGCTGCAAGTCACTGGAGCACGTTTACAATCCTCCTCACCAGTCTTCTGTTATTTTCCCCACAGCTAAGATACACTCGTGTTAGACTAGTTCTGAATAACTAAGATAATGTATCTGATACCATGTTATCCTGAGTACCCTTAGGTCTCAGACCCTACAGGTCTTTGTAGTTTTTTCCGGTAAAGCTATGTCATGGCCATTGTATGCGTGTGCTGCAGCTGGCTGAGCACCCTGACTGCAGGTAGGTGTTCTCCATGATAAGCCAGCTAAAGAAATTCTTGCCTCTGTCTTCCTGTAGCTCCTGCACTTTCTGCCATCATTCTTTGCTGCTGGAAGTGTTAGATCATTCTGTAAAAACAGATTTGAAACACAATAAAATCTTTAGGGGACTGGTTTTTGTAGTGGGCTAGCTTCCGTTATCTGGTTGACTGGTTGCTACAGCTGAGGAGTAGCAAATTGTAGGATAGATGTGAGAACTTTGTATGCTGGCTTTCCTGCTGTAAGTAACTTACTGGAAACCACAATGGTGGTTGCTCTTGATACGAAGTTCTTAGATTTGGAGTCAGCACTAATGACCAAGGCTTAGAATTAGCAAAGGTATTGATTTCCTCTGTTAATAAAAGCCAAATGCTCGTATTGCATTTCATGAAAGCCTTCCTTTTTTTTTTTTTTTTCTTTCCCATACTGGTGATTGAAAGCAGATATTGTTAAAAGACTTGTTTTAGAAACGGGCAAAATGTGGAAGTGCTGGGAGAACAGTGACAAGCTTATAATCATCATCCGGAGGCCATTAGTAAAATGTCTGTCCCTGCCCATGATCATTGCAACAAAAATAAAATTTGCTATAATGGCACACCTATTGTCTCTGTTTCTTATTTACAAGGACATCTGGAAAGAATGTGAATAAAATCCGAGAGTGGGTTTCCTTATTTACTTGTTCAAGTTTCCCTAAAACCCCATTGTATTTTGTTACTTAAAAGAAATTGTGGGTGCAGTTTGCTGTCCTATTGCAGTCCGTTGGCTATCGGGGTGGGTGTTGGAATGATCTACCCACTCCACAGCCACCCCAAAAAATGTGCCTCTCGCAGCCCAAAGGCTCTTCCACAGTGTCTGGCTCACCTGCGCGGTTGTGACAGTTTGTAAAGCTGGAAAAGGTTTTTGCATCTTTTGTGGGAGTCTTCCTGGGAATGTTACTGTTGAAGTAGCCAATGAGCTCTGCTTATCACCAGGTGCATCCTGGAGAAGTTTGGGGAGAAAGAGGAAGATGTCTTTAATGCTGCCAGCAGTAGGACATACTGTAATTCTTCAGGGTTGGGGGTGTGTGTGGGGGGGATTTATTTTTCTTTCCAGAAATTGAGTAGGGAGTTGCTCTGTTCTTTAATCAGATTTCACTTATGACCCAGAGACGAGAACAAGCAGAAACCTGAACCCCTATTTGTTATATGCAGCCATTTAGAAATAGATCTGCACACTTTGATACAGTTCACTTTTGTCTGATAATTTTCTTACATCTTGGCCTTTTGGTTTTTAAAATCCCAGTAAAAGGAGTATTCCCAGTTTCGAAATTCACAAAAGTAATTTTACTTGAGTTCTATGCTTGTTCTTCCACAGTATATTTCTTTTTGGCAATTAAAGCATATGTGCTAAATTTGAGTGAATATTTAAGCATGCTTTAGTACAGTTCAGGCCTTCTTTCTGCAGCATTAAGTGGTTTGTTTGGGGTTTTTTTTTCTCCTGCGAGAAGTCCACTTAAGATCCTGACAGTTGTACTTGAAACTTGTATGGTGGTCAGAAGTTCGCTGGTGCTCTGGAGTCCTTCCTGTGTCCTTTGGGTTAAACATCATCGTAGAGGTATGGTATAGAGCCCATGGTAGAGCGCTTGATACCAAGTGCCTTTTATCTCCAGCAAGCATCATAGAATAGGTGTTCTGGTCACACTTAAATGTGCAGGGGCAGAACTGATATTTATCAGTGCCGTTGGGTATGTGACAAGGTATAGAGGTGCTGTTTAAGAACAATATTGATGAATAATTTAGAACTCTAATTTTCATGTAAGAATCTCTCCTTTGTTAAAATCAAAAGGACAAGATGATGTGTACCTACACATGAACGAAAACTCTTGCATGTCCCAATTTGAATCTTACCTCAGCCCAGGAGTATACCAGCCTTTCCTGTTGCATTCCTGGAGTGTGACATTACCTCAGATGCAAAGGAGAGAGTGCCTGAAGATATTCTGGATTCTAAGATGGCATTTAAAAAAAAAAAAAGATGACTTTTTTTCCTTAACTATTGAAAACCAATTAAATTGGGGTAAAATCTCAATTATTGTAAATTCTTATGCACAATTCTGTAGCTCATATCATGGGGGGGTTGGCCTTTTTAGATGTCTTTGTAATTTAAGGTTCATACACTGAGCACAGGTTAAAAATGAGCAATTCTGGCATGGTCCTTAATCTGAGTTGGTAGCCTAAGGAGAAGGAATTTAGTGATGAATCAAGGTAAAAGTCATTGTCAAAGGGTTGGGGGAGTAGAAGAGTCAAATGGAGTAATGCAGACATAGGGGCATGAGAGAAGAACTAAATAATCAAACAATGAGTTGCCAGTAGTGAAGGGCCACAAAAATAGTTTATCTCTTGTGCAGTTCTTGTACAAAACCAAAAATGACTATTTATTGTTTGTGCTCTGTGAAATAGATATTGTGTTTTAAAAAGATGATCTAAAATGCTTAGACAGGAAGAGGAGGTGTAATTTCTAAGCAGATGATGACTGCCAGTGAGAAGGGACTAGCTCTGCACTGTTTTAAGTGGGAGTACTGGTAGTATGATGGCTTGTCAAGACTTTTCTTCAAATAAACCTGACCTGAATCTAGTTTTTACTCTCAAAGAAGTAAAAATCCTCAGCATGGCCATCAACTGCAGTTTTGTTAGTGGTTTCATCAGTCTTCTGGTCATTGAGAAATGAGTGTCACATGGAAAGTAAGCAGTTGCAGGCATCATTTGGAAAGTGGAATTCCTTTTGGAATTCCCAAATGCTTAATAGTCAGATAAATGAATGAGGGACTTGAGTATGCGAAATGGTTTTTGTCCTGGTGCTGTCTGCTTATTGCAACGTAGGTTTGAAGCTAAAGAGAGAACACTACAACCAACTTATGAAAGAGCTTGTATTTGGGGTGTTTTTATCTGCTTGACTTTTTTAATTTTCTAAAATATGTGAGAGATGCTGCAGCTCATGGTCACAGAGTTGAGGCAATTTGGTAGTAGCTGAACTATATCTATTTATTACAGGTGTTTTTTAATAATTAAAAAAAATACTTAAAGATCAACTTTTGCAACGGTACTGAAAAAAATGGGAGAATTCTCTTGTAATGACTGCCCAAGTAATTGAGACAAAATAAATTGCGATATTTTCAAGACCCTGAATTTTGAGAACTGAATTTGAACAAAGGAGTACTTTAGTTGGATCATTCAACTGAAAAGCAGACTTTGTCTTCTAAGCGGTTTGGAATAGTAAATGTCACCCTTCTCTGCTTCTCAAGCTCTAATTTCTGATTTGTTTTAGCCATTGGCTGGAAGAAAGAACAAGATATCCTTTTGCATGTCTTTATTTTAAAATGTGGCAATCCAAGGCTTAAGGATCAAAAATTGAAATATTTTTGTGAGAAGACTGAAGCAATGTATGTTTCTGCCAGGACACAGGAGAATATACTGATTCCATCTGTTTATTAGAACAGAAGTTTCCATATTGATTTTCATTACTGTGTAGCTCTAGCATTTTAATGGGGAGTTGTATCTAATTGAATGTAAACTGTTTCTGGATAAGCAATGCTTGTTTTATTGATACATGGAACTTCTTTGCTCAACTAAGGTTAGAAACTGACATTAATATATGTTCTGGTGGCTTTTGAAGGTGTGAAATTGAATAATTTGCATACTTTTTCCCAATGTTGGAATAAAAGCACATATCTTAGGGGGCTGGCACTCAAATCATAACCAGAAATTATTCTTTGAACTCTTTCAATCTGCAGTCATTAATTTCAGTGTCTGAAATTAACCTGCAATAAATGGAATGACTCCTTCTTTTTCAGGGGTGTCTTGGTGAGACTGGAAGGATGCAGCCATCCCGTTGTTATGAAAGGCTTGTGTGCAGAATGTGGCCAGGACTTGACTCAGTAAGTATTCTCAGCTATTTTCTCCAACTACTCCTTGCTTATGATTAGGGATCCAAGCTCTTCATTCTCTCATTTACTACTTTGCTTCTCCATTGTGGCTCTTGGTAGTTGTGAGTCATACCTGTAAGGGTAATTGTGAAGTTGTAGATACTAGTTGGGAGGGACAACAGTATTCATACTGCCTAATGTAAGTAGGTCTACTCGGAGTGCTCCTATAAGGAAAGTTGAGAGGGAGTTTCCTTTACAAGTTAAGTTTCAGTATAAAGCACTTTTCACATTTGCTTTTTTTAAAAAAAAATAAATCTATTGAGATTAGCTCATGAAATTCTTGCTTATAGTGGTCTGAATATATTAATTCCTGATCACGTTATTAATAGTGATATATATACAATACAGTGATGATATAGATATATAGTGATATATATATAATTTAATAAAGTATATTTCTTTACTGAAAAATTGCTGCTTGTATGCAGGAATTGGTGTGCCCTCTGGATAAAACCAACATGTGAAGGGGAAATAAGCAAGATCTGTGCCACTATTGCAAAGTGTCTTAATTTACTTTTGCTGTTTATACAAGGCACTTGTTTTGCCACCCTGGAAGCTTCAAATATGTGCCTACTTTCTCCTTATATGTCACTGTAGTCACAGATGCATTGTTTAGAATTTTATTTCCTTTGAGCCGTTACAGGGATTCATAACTAGGAATATGGGTGAATAAGATGCCATGTGGGTACTTGAGTTACAGTTCACATTGAAAATTTATGACTTAATAGCTGTGCATGCTCTTTCTGTGGAGATAAATCTAGAGTAACTTACTACCATGTGTAGAAAATGTAAAGAGCATGCACGCAGACATAAATGCTCATCACAGTGTATCCTACTTGGCTTTTTCTGTACTCATAACTGAGCTTGAGAGTTGTAAGGTGTGTGAACAGTGACTTGATAAACCTGAGTTTTATCTGCAGGTGTAAATAGATGTGAGTTAATATCAATCTCATTCATGTGACCGTGCTTCATTTGTACTGTGTCTGAATGGGAGCTAGCTTGTTTCCAGTGCTTTCAATTTAAGACTTCAGAACTGTTTTTAAATGTTTTTTGTGAAATATTCTGCAATGGCACTAAAGAAATTTAAGCCTTAGGCCAGAAAGAAAGCAAATTCAAAATGTGATTGTATTTCTCTTTTGCTATGTCTCATTGCTAATACAGTTGGTGAAGAGAATGCTTCTTATGCATACCAAATTACTAATTCAACAGCTGTTTTCCAAAATGGGCTGTAGAGTAGCCTGGATTTTAGAAATGAATGTTGCATGCTCATTTCATTTGGAAGGAAATACTTTGTTTTAATTTTAATTCATAGCTCATTATGAATTATTTTGTGAGCATTATCCCTTAAATGAGCACAAGTGGACTGAATATTGAAAATCATGGAATTGTCTGGGTTGGAAGGGACATTTAATATCGAGTCCAACCATCAACCTAACACTGCCAAAACCACCCATCAACCATGTCCCTAAGCACCATGTCTACCTGTCTTCTAAATAGTTCCTGGGATGGCGACTCCACCACTTCCCTGGGCAGCCTGTTCCAATGCTTAACAACCCTTTCTGGGAAGAAATTTTTCCTAATGTCCATCCTAAACCTCCGCTGGTGTAACTTGAGGCCATTTCCTCTTGTGCTGTCTCTTGTTACTTGGGAGAAGAGGTCAGCCCCCACCTCTCTACAACCTCCTTTCAGGTAGCTGTAGAGAGCAGTAAGCTCTCCCTGAGCCTCCTTTTCTCCAGGCTAAACAACCCCAGTTCCCTCAGCCGCTCCTCAAAAGAGTTGTTCTGCAGATCCCTCCCCAGCTTTGTTGCCCTTCTTTGGACATGCTTCAGCACCTCAATGTCTGTCTTGTAGTGAGGGGCCTAAAACTGAAGACTGTATTTGACGTGGGGCCTCACCAGTGCCAAGTACAGGGGAACGATCACTTCCCTACTCCTGCTCACCACACTATTCCTGATGCAGGCCAGGATGGTACTGGCCTTCTTGGCCACCTGAGCACACTGCTGGCTCATATTCAGCAGTCTGTCGAGCAACACCTCCAGGTCCTTTTGTGCCAGGCAGCTTTCCAGCCACTCTTCCCCAAGCCTGTAGCACTGCACGGGGTTGTTGTGACCCAAGTGCAGGACCTGGCACTTGGCCTTGTTGAACTTCATACCACCGGCCTCGGCCCATCAATCCTGCCTGTCCAGATCCCTCTGTAGAGCCCTCCTACCCTCAGGCAGGTCGACACTCCCACCTAACTTAGTGTTGTCTGCAAACTTACTGAGGGTGCACTCGATCCCCTTGTCCATGTTGTTGATAAAGACATTAAAGAGAACAGGCCCCAGTACTGAGCCCTGGAGAGCACCACTTGTGACTGGATGTCAACTGGATTTAACTCCATTCACCACAACTCTTTAGGCAATATGTAGTCTAGTTAATAATGGTTGGATATAACTGTTAATGAAAAGTTGACTGGTAATATTTTGTTAATAAGTATTACTTGGCAAAACGGCAAACCTAACAAAAAGTTAGGATAATAATGAATAGGGCTTTTCCTGCCCTGAATGAATACTTGATTTGAGGTTTGAATACAGTCACATCCAAATATTCCTATACTGCTATTATTTCATTAAAAATCTAGATAAATTCAGGGTATGCAGTGAATTCTGTTCTCTCAGTTAATACTCCTCTACTTCAGATAATGTCTTCATTTTATACAAAACGGCTTATACATGTGGTATAATGTGTTAGGTCTGCTGAGCATACACCAGAAGTCAGTTCAAAAACATCAATGTTTTTCTTGCCTGAAAAAATGCAAGTATAGCCAGTTCACTGCCAGCATGTTGGGTGTTAGTGGTGCATCTTTCTGGTAAACAATTCTTATGCTTATTCAACAAATGGTCTGAAAACAGTTCATCCTTTTTAAAGGCTCATTTAGAATACCATTCAGTGTTATATGTGAGGTGTTCTGAACTCTGAAGCAAAGGATGTAAGATGCTAAAATGCGGGTGTAAACTTCGGACCAAATGAAGTAATCTGTCTTTTGTTTCTGAGTATCAGTGCTTCCAACCACTATGGCACAGTAAAAGCATATCTTTCTGTGAGTGTGTCTGCCTCAACACACCTCAGTACCATTTTTTTTCCTCATGAACTTGCTTGTCATGAAGTGAAAACTGGGTGAAATTTAACTCTGGCTGTAGCTCTGATACCAAATTTTGTCCTTGGTAGGACAAGTACTCGGGGGAATTAAAAGTTGTGCACGCGTCACATAGGACAAAATTTTATGGTAGTATTTTAATTTTGGTGAACCATAAATAATGTCTTTAAAATTAGATAACAGAGTTCCCAACACTCTCATATATATATATGTATAATATATATGCACAACATGTATATACATACAGCTATATATCATACAGATATGTACATAAGTAAGACTGTGCATGTGCGTAATATACATGTAAATGAAATACATACAGGCACACATATGTAGTACCTCATTCTGTTTGTGCCAAAGGGAAATGCACCTATGGAGATTTTTTGAATGCTTTTTGTGAAGCAGCGGTCACATGTAAGTCACTCTGCTATGTGTAAAGAGTAACTTTGCCTATCTTTTGTTTAAATTGATTTCATAGTCTGGCTTGGAGAGAAGTAGATAATTGCATTCTGAGTAATTGCAAAAAAAAAAAAAGGAAACGAATAGTTTTAAATGTGAATGATTTGGTAGTTATGCTTAGTTTATAACTGTTTTCTAATGCCAATCAATATGTAGATGTCTGTTTCATCTTAGTGTCACTTTTCATGAAATAATTATATAGAAGCATACCTAATTACAATTATTTTTTGCAAGGTCTTTATGGTGAGCTGCTTTGATCTCTTTATCCATTTTGTTCGTTAACTTGCATTAACAAGAATTTGAAAGAGCGTATTAGTTAGTTTTTTGGTGGTGACTAGTTTGATACCACAGATTTTAGTGTGTTTAACTTTTCACTAAACTATTACTTTCTTCTTTTCTAATGTTTCTTTTCCCTGGGTGATTAGGATACGAAGCAAGAATGGAAAGCAGAATGTGCCATTATCCACAGCAACTGTATCTATGGTTCACAGTGTCCCAGAACTGAAAGTTAGCTCTGAGGTAGGTACCATCATGCTTTCTTTATTCATACCTTTCACTGTAGCTCCTCAGTTGAGAAGTGTAATTACAGGAGTTTCTTCAGTGTTGTATGTACTTCATACAGAAAGTTTGGCTTCCCTTTGAAGAGTAATTTGGTGTGGAACATCCATAGCCAAGGGTATTTGTGTGTTTATCCCAATGCAATTTGATTGTTAGCAGGTTTTATAGTGGATTTTTTAAGATGTCCACTGAAAAGATGGTACTTCTGTGACAGCAGTGTGAAAACTTACTACTTTAATGTTTTTGTCTCTAAGAATTAGCAGTTTCTCTGAAGTTTAGTTTGCAGTAGTTGAAATGTGTTCAAAGTTTGCAATGTCTCTGAAACCTAGCTTCACCCTTCACCTTGAAATTGATCCCACTAGATACTGTAAAGCTAGTTTGCTTGCAACTTAACTGTATGCTAAATTTATTTCATTATTTTTCAAATGTTCCAGTCAGCTGAGTTATCAAAATATGCTTGTTCATCCCTCAGTTTCCTTAGAGGAAAAGTTATGTTTGTTTTGAAGATAAACACTCTACCTTCCTTACGGACTTCATGTCTTTTTATACCACTGCTCACCTTTTTTGTTAACTCTTCAAAAAACACAAGTGAGAAGAAATGTGACAATACAAGCAACTAGAATTGTTCTCATCATGCTGGCGCATTTCAAAGGGCAATTTGCACTTGACTCCTGCTTCTTCATAATGCTTCACTTAACTTTGCTTTTAAGTTTAGCTGCCTGGTGGATAGCACTGCAGCTTGCTATCAGAAGTGGTTATAGTGAACACAGAGCTTAATATGGTACTTTGAAAGTTTGTAAATACGCACAAGAGGAGTAAACTTCAACTCAAATTTACGGGAGTGTAAGGTCTTTGTTATCAGTGGCCACACAGAACTACATAATCTAACTATTTATGTCTGAAGTCATACATTCTTTAAGCTCAGGTTGACAGTTATAATAATTTCTGTCATTAACAGCTTCAGTTTAATACTCAGCCTAGTGTTGTCAGCCATATTGTACCTAATTGATACAAAATTGCTGAATGTAGCAGCCAAAGTTTTCACACTTCCTGAATTTGTCCTTTGCCTATCCCAAAGCTACCGCTATTTCCTCTCAAGACTCTTGGCCTTAATTTAATTCAGTGGTTACTTATTTCCTAAACTTGGAAGTTGTTGTGTAGAGTTAGTCCGTTTTAAGAGTTACTAGTGCCACAAAGATCTGAGAGTAGACTATGGGAGTATTTTTTTTCTGCAGTAAATTTGCTGACAAAGCTGCCATGACTACTGTTGTGTTGAAGCATCATTTCTTATGCAATTAGTTTGTAGCAGAACTTCTCAAGTTTACAATACACAAAAGGCAATAAACCAAACTTATTTCTTCTAAGCTGAGCTTAGTTGTGAATATTTTGTTACAGCAAGCTGAGCAGCTAGGAAGAGAAGACCAACAGCGACTACATCGAAATCGAAAACTGGTGCTGATGGTAGATTTGGACCAGACATTGATCCATACTACAGAACAGCACTGCCAACAAATGTCTAACAAGGTAAGTATTTGGTGTTAACTTTCAAGCCAAAGTAACAACAGGAATATTTCTAACAATATTTAAATGATGGTTCTTTAAGAAAACATTCTGTGGTTAGATAAATTTGTAGTTGAAGAGTAGCAGAAAATGAAAAGCCTGTCTCTATGTTCACTTTTTCTCTACATTTAAACTGGTGGTTTTCTTTCTTCCATTTATGCTTTCCTGCACTTTTCCATCCCTGTCACTTTAAGTGAGAAGCTTCAGGTAGCTATTTTTAATCTCTACTTTCTTTCCTCTACAATTCACAACCAGAGTACTCATTACTGAGACTTTTTTCCCCTCCAAGGCTGAGGCAGATATAGTGAATTACTGTTCGTAGTCCCTTTTTGGGTAATCCTGTGTGCTACTACATCTGTCATTCCATAAATATATCTAGTGATTTTTTATTTTTTTTTTTCTTCAACTTCATTTTTTGGGGGGGAGGTTTGGGTGTTGCTTTTAATTTCTTCATGAAACATCATTGAACTGGTAGGGACTATTGGCTTGTAGTATTTCCAAATTGGAAACTTTAAAACAAGAAGCACGTTGGAATGTGTCTACAGTGTGTTGTACAGGAGGATGCAAATTCAAACTCCAATGTCATGCAAACTGTGGTTTCTTAATTCCTCTTTCTTTCCTCTTGCCATTCTCTCATGTCCAGGTTCAGCATTTGTTCACACCTGCTAGCAAAAAATGAGCTGTAAATGTACTCTGCAATTGAGGGGAAAGAGAACAGTGAATATTCAGCATAAAGATTTTTTAAAAAATGGTGTATTTGAAAGGCTATGTCTTCATCTGTATAAATGCATGGTTTGAAGAAAAACAATTTTTTAAAAGATTTTCAGATTTTTAACTGGGATCTTTATCTGCAAACTTCCTTCCTTCTTTGCTATCTTATGGTATGTTACCATAGACATAATATTTTTCCATCCAACAAAGTCTGTCTCTGAGCTTGATATATACTGAAACTAATCTGAGTGAAGTTTGCTGAGTAGTACTGATTGGAGTGAGATCCTGAACTTCCAGAGAAAATTCTCAAGTTGCTTTTTTCAGATTGGTTTGCTGTGAGTAAAGATTTCAATGAAAGTTGCCTTGATCATGAGCTTTTCAACAGTGCAGCTTCCTGCCTTTGAAAAACTTTGTATTGGACTGCCTGGCACAGAGCAAAAATGTGCTTTGGTTTTTATTCATCCACATAATCTTTGTGGCTAAAACTTGCTTTAGCCTCGTTGGACCAAGTAAAAGTAGTGGAAGTCATGGAGGAAGGCATTTCTGGAATACTGGCATTTTTGTTTGGTATTTTGATAATATGAAATGTGCTTTTTCTTCTAGGGAATATTTCATTTCCAGTTAGGTCGAGGTGAGCCTATGTTGCATACTCGTTTGCGTCCTCATTGTAAGGAATTCCTGGAAAAAATTGCCAAGCTGTATGAATTACATGTTTTTACTTTTGGCAGCAGACTGTATGCACATACAATTGCAGGTGAGTAGTACATTACATTTAACAATATTTACATAATCAGCCTTCATACTCCTTTTCTTTCTGTGGTTGTTTTCAAGTATTTGTTCTTTATTTTGTGCAAAACTACTTCCTAAATCGTCCTATAAGCATAATTCTTGGCTTGTTTACAGTGCAGTGCCTGTATGGCCTTTAATTTTAGAAATAATCCTTCTTTTTTTGTTGGTTTTTTTTTTTTCCATCAGATGTGCTTTTTTTGCTTCCCTGATGGTTAAAGAATCACATTGTGGCATACTAACTAGTGCCTTCCTATTGAATTAAGTAAGAAATCATACTTATGAGATGTAAAAATGATCTGCAACATCACTTGTCTTAGAAATCTGAAGCAACAGTTCCATAAAAATCAACAACGTGAAATTATCTCCTCCTATGGGGAGCACCCCTCTGCCCTCCCCACTCCTCTCCCCCTGCTGTTTCCTTTCACCAAAGGAAGCTGAAATCAATTTACAGCATTTCTATTTGTGTCATGGGGCTGAGATGCACTTATTTGAGGAAAAGCACAGATCTAGCAGTATTTTCACATATACTTCTCAAGAACTTAAAAATATTTTCTCCTAGTAACTGAAAACTTGCGTTTCAATTATAGCAATAGTAGTCTATGGTGTGGGTCACTGGCTGAAGTGTTTTGGGTTTTTCCAACAAGCAGAAAAGAAACCTACCCTGCTATGCAAGCATATGGGTCAAATTAATGTTAGGACTGTGACCATGTGTTTAAACTGTAAAATTTGCCCCATCTTGACTCTTCATTGACAGAATAGCATTTTCACCTCAGACTTCCCTTTATTAAGTCTGTCAGACTAAGACAATATGATTAACAATGTTGTAGGCTATGACTCTGCATGTCAAACTGTCCTTGCTGTTCTTCCATGTCTCCTAGCTTCTTTTTTTTTTTTTTTAAGTTGTCTTTCACATCTGCTTTTTTAGTGTCATGTTGCCATGAGTACCTTGAGCAGTGCTATCGCAATGATCCCACTTCTTGGCAAGAAAGGAAGATTCCAAAATTGTTAGCTAACTATACTAGTTAGCCCTGGAACAGTTTAGAAAAGAATTGTCTAATTAGAGAATGCTTTGTACATGTTATATAAAACACAGAAGATGCTTGTAATGACAAGCATAAGAGACTTCTGTAATCAGAAAGCGAAACCTACTTGTGGTTTCCAACTAATTCTTGAAAGAAAGTTCAGGACAGGCATGTCCTGTCCGGCCCATCCAAGTGAATGTTTCTACATTACTTCCTATTTATTGGCTGAGTTGTTTGAATGATCTTCCTAAAGCTTTGTCAGTCTCACTGTTGGATTATACATTGCATACTGCTAATGCATTAACACTTTTGTACCATGCTGTCCTTATAGTGTGGTTATTTCTTGTGTAGCAAAAGGGGAATGGTTTTCTTATACACTAGGTCTAAATACCTGGTGGTAAAAAAGTGGGTGGGCAATCTTCTTCACTTGGATCTTTATGCCAAAATCTGCCTGTGGCCTAAGGTCAGAAGATGTGTACCAAATAAGGTCAAGATGTGTAGCTTCAGAGCCAGGGGGAAGAATGAGTTGCAGAGGTATTTAACTCATGGTGTGTAAGTGCTTTCCAAGTGATTCGTCTTCTTTCAATGTGTGATTTGGTCCTATTTGCTTATTTTAATCTCTGAGCTAAAATTTGAATTATGCTGCAGGCCCCATGCTGGCATGGAGTGATACTTAAAATGTGACAAGCCTATTTGTGGGCATCACACTTGATGAGCAAATTAGGGTATTATTGCTTCTGACATCCCCAGACTTCTGGATTTTTGCCTGAAGCTGTCTAACCTCATCAAACTACAAGTGGATTACTTGTACAGTGATGATGATAGTTTCAAATGAAATATGTCGGTATGGAGAAACAGTTGATATAGCCTTTGGTCCGCATAGTCACCTGTGTAACCGAAATGCAATTAACGGAGAAATATATAGCTAATACATATAGAGAACACTTGATGGCAGTATTGGTTAAGTGATTTCTCACAGAAACCTGTCAGTCTGATATTTTACCATTATCGCTATGTTACATAAAGGAAGGACTTGTAATAAAATGCTGGGAATCTTTTTTTATAAGAAAAAAGTTGTTTTCTTAGGGCTTCCATATACACCCCAGATTTCTTTGTGAAATCTGAACTCTGGTTCTTCCATGTCCTGAAATGCTTTTTCCTCACTTTGCAAACAGGTGACATCTTGTAAGTCCTTTTCTCTCATCCCAACTGACTCCTATTGGATGTTAAGTGGGATTAGCTGATATTTGTAAGCACCATTTGTGTCTGCTGAAGTTATTTATCCTAAACCCTTTTTTAGTTTGAGACATTTACAAAGTGGTATCTTGTCGTACATTTATGAAGATGAGTTTGGAATTTATAATTTAGAACTTCCTATAGTATTCCCTTTCTACAGAGTTATTTTGGCCAATTGTTACTTAACTTTTTTTCCTAGTCTGCATAAGAGAAGTTTGCTGTATTTAATACTGAAGTCTTAAATGCTGGTTGTAAAAGTCAATGCCACTGTGAATTTTGAGTTCAGAGGCCACTAGGCAACAAGAATGCAATGTGAAATCACTGTGAAGATTTAAAGTGGAACTTAGAAAGTAGGACTCAGTTGAGGGCATTCATATGTATGGTTTCTTTCAGCAAGTATACTACAGTATGTATTTCAATAAAGAATTGACAAAATGCTTGTGTCTGTAATTACCAGTATCTGAAGGTCTCCAATGCTACTGAAAGATTGGGTCAATGGCTCTTTCCAGGTTCTAAAGTAGGACCTGAAGCAGAACTGGAGGTGACCTGATTCTTCAGAAATTCAATTTTAGATTTGTTTTTAAAAGGACTTACTCAAATTCATGTTGAACCCTACTGTTATATCATTTCTACTATGAATTGCTGTTTAACTCAATATGCATCTAAGATTTGAGACTTCCCCAATATGAGTTGGGTACTTTTGAACATTGCATCTTGTGATGTTTTTTTAACTTTACAAGTCTTATTTACAAGTTTGCTTTTCTAAGGGAGTCTATATAAGATCAGGTAACACAGCTTGATAAAACTGTATGTGCAAAGACCCAGTCTGAGATACTGGAAAACAAACAATTGGGGGGGGGGGGGGAGAAACCCCGGAATTTATGCTTGATTAAACAAATTTATGTAGGGTGGGGTTTCTGAACAAATGTTAGCATTATAGCTGGATCAGCTGTCTCATCTGTGGTGACTTCCCAGCTGCTCACTGTTTTCAACCTTCTTGGCCAAAGAAAAAATTCTCATACTGTCAGCTAGAAAAGATGCCAATTTGAAACAGAAAAAAAAAAAAGGGGGGGGGGGGGGGGAATAGCCTCTGCTAGGTAAGTCTGCTGAATAGTCCCTGGTAGTATTGCAGTCAAGGGATAATGATACGCTTCTCAGCTTGTTAAAGAAACTACTTAGAGGCGTACTTAGCACATTGTCTATCTTATCAGAATAAATGGAAACTTGTTTTTCATTTGAAACAGCAAATCTTTGTTTTCAATCATTGACTTCTACAAAAGTCTTTAATTTTTTTTTAAACATGCTCACAAAATGAGAAATTCATCAACATCTATCTTTCTGCTGGAATGATTTGTGCAAACTGATACTTCTCCAATAAAAAATTCTGTTAAAGAATTCATTACCAACAGTAAGGCAGTAAACTGTGACTGTAATCATTGTTGAGGATATGGTGGTGGGAAATGGGTAGGAATAAATAAATAAATGAAACAAGGCTAAGAGTACATCTTAGGAACACTTTTGCTGTTTCTGTATACTCGGTGAGTTTATACATAGACCATTTCGTTGCTCTGAAGTCATAGAAACTTGCAACAAAATGTTCCCACAGAAAAGTGACATCATCTAAACAGATGAGGATTTTTTGGAGGTCTATATTGACTTTTCTTGGGGGGGGAAAAGCCACCAATACTTTGGAAGCTATCATCCATTTGAAACCTGCAGCTTTGTTATTAAAGGTTAATATCCAAACAGTGCACTATCATCAAATTCTAAATCTTTCAAGATGTAGGTTCTGAAAATATTTTTGTTTTGAAGGTGGTAGAGTTTTTCATAATGAGGGTTTCCAAGTTCTTTTTGTTACTGAAAGCAGTATAATAATGATATTTTTTTTTTAATAAAGACGTTAAATCTTAGCCTTTGATTAGATTTATCTTGGAGGGCATATCTGCATCTACTTATTTTTAATGTAAAGTTTTTAATTCTTCAGATTTATGTTCTATTTGCAATTATAAACCAATTAAAGTTAATGTTTTAACTAATAGTATGTGATCTAGTCACTAGGTGTCTTGTTTGCTCTTGCATGGAGTATTTTTAGTGAATTATCAAGGGGACAAAAGTATTTAATTTTAATAAGTCTTTACAAAAGCATTATCGAAAAGCTTCAGAAGACTACCTCATCTGTAATCCCTGGCAGTCAGGGTTTCTGTGTTTGGGCTTTCTCAGTTCAACTTTCCTTTTCTTAACGTTTTAGCTAGACAACACTGCAACTGAATGGCCTCATTGTGGTTTTGCTATTTAATCAGTCCACTCCTGTCCAATTTAGTGTAGCAAGTCCCTGTGTATTCAGATAATCAGTAGAAAAGAATTTGGTTGGGGAGAATAGCAATTTGTGTGGCAGCTTATGTAGTTTGTCAAAATATCTGTGTGTATGGCAATAAATCTTTGTAGCTAATTCTCTCAATTCATTATGCCTAGGTACTGCAAGGGTCTCACTACAGGGGATGATTCTACGAGTTTGCAGCAATTCTTAAGCATAGTCGGGTGAGTTAAGGTTGAACCTCTGTCCTTAACTCGGAATTTTCTTGCTTTTATGGGTTTTAAGTTATTCCAATTACACATTATTATTAAATACATACATGATCAACTTTTCAGAAGTGATGACTAATTCTTTTTACTTTTTTTTAATTCATACCCTCTGTTTCTGAAAACCCAACTTAACGCACTTCTGGGAGCTTGACTCCTAAAAGGAGTTGAACATGTGTTCTCAGAGCTCCTTGAAAGAAAATTAAAGTTGGTCCTTATGGTCTGTAGTAATTTTGAAATCTGGTTCTGGCTGTAAGATGGCCACCATATAAAATAAAGTAAAACTTTAAAAAATTGTTCCCAAATTAAGTATTGACTGCCTTATATTATTCATAAGAATAACAAGAAGTTGATTTGCTTCAACATAAAATCAGTAAAGTGGAAAATCCAGATTAGCATGTAAAATGCCAGTTTTTCTAAGCAATTACGTGGCTGTGATCTGCTCATGAAGATGAACTTCATTATTGGAGGCTAGGTCCAGAAGCATGTGCATGTGTGTTTGTACACCCAAGTCACCATTTTCCTAAATAATGGCATTTTATCTTGCTTTAAGATCAGCTAGCACAGCTTCTCCTGTTTTGTTTTCAGTTTGTCTTTTTTTGGAGTATGCAGTCAGAAAAAATACTGTAACTGGGCCTAAATGTTTCTAGGGATCCCAGGATATATTCATTATATGTAAACGTATTAAAGTATTTGTTAGAGGTACAACTTAAAACCTACAAATGCAAGAGCTCCGGCTGAAGCTGTCCCTTAACTTGCCCATTGTGCTTAAGTATTGCAGCACATTGCCGACTCTTGTGAGACTTCTCTGCAGTCCCTAGGCATAATGAGCTAAGGAGAGCATTTAGCTTTAAAGAACCACCTATAGAGAGATAAATGTAAGTTGCAAATATCATGTGTATCTATCACCTGCTGTATCTCCTTCAGCCTAATTTATTTGGCTGTCACAAATTTAGTTACTTTAATTTCAATGTTGTTGCTACGTTGAACGAAAACGACATGGGATTTTTAACATTAACCCTACTGCATTAGTTACAAATACTTGAGCCAGTGTGCGTACCCTTTCCCCCATATAATATCTCCTACCTTAAAATTATGTGTTAGTTAAACTGCTATTGCACAGGTTAAAATAGCTGATTAGATATAGATATATCTAATATATCTATATATGATATAGAACATAAACAAGGAACAAGCATCTTGAACATTGACTTTTTAATTTCTTCTTTCAAAAGGATTTTTGGACCCTGAAAAGAAGCTTTTTTCCCATCGGATATTGTCAAGGGATGAATGTATTGATCCATTTTCTAAAACTGGGAATCTTAGGTATGTATGTGGGTCTTACGCATTAAACAAAACAGGATACGCTAAATGTAATAAAAATTACTCCCTCTGTACTGAACATGTTTATAGTCCTTTCTTATCTGCCTCTTAAATATCAACATCATCTCAATAAAACTGAGATATTAGGTATTGCAGCATTTCATCTGCCTAATATGTTCTGTGGTACTAGAACAGTAAGAATGTGAAGTAACGGCATCTTTTACTTGTCCTTTTTATTCTTGTAATAAACATATTTCCGCTTTATGGCTTGTGATCTTGTATAAGATCATGTAGGTTGTGGGTTTTTTTAATTAAACTAAAATTCTCAGTTTGAGGTTAATTCATATTTGAACGTCTAGTATTCTGGCTTTCAAATGTGCTGTGCATCTAGCAGCTTCTGTTCTGCAGTGTCTCTTGAAATTGGGTAATTTAGAACCTTGAATTCATATTCTAGTCTAAACTCAGATTTTGATCTTTTTCAGAGTATAAAGCCAAGATTTTTTTTTTCTAAAAGACAGATATGTATTTCATAAAGTTAGGTTAAAAATTATTGCCCCCTCCCCATCTGACCGTAGCAAATGAGAAGCTTTTTTCTTCACTTGCTCTGTTTTCATATGCATTTTATATCTTAAGTACTCTACCCCATTCACATAGGTGATAAAATATTAGTACTTTTTGCTTCCTTTGTCTTGGAGTGAATGAGTCTAACTCTTCAAAAACGGTTCCTGTGTCTTTTTCCTAGTTATACATAGATAGCGTATTGTCTATGTGATAGTTGTCTTTGGGCTGTTTGTAGACATAAACTGTGAAAACTAGACCAAAACGTTGTAATATTTTGTTTTTGCAAAGGCTTGTTGGTTCTTGCTTCTAGCTGTTGGAAGAGAGATTTTAAAATAGCTTTTTCCTTTTTTATTTTTTTTAGTTCGACTATTGTATTTTGAATTCTGCAATATTACTATTGCTTTTTTTAAGTTCGTATATAAGCATGTCCTGCAGACATATTCATAATATACCAGAACATCAACAGAAAGTACTTCCATTGATACTACTAATTTCTAAAACTGGATTCATTTTATCAACTGTTTTGTCTCTTAGAAATCTCTTCCCATGTGGGGATTCCATGGTTTGCATCATTGATGATAGAGAGGATGTTTGGAAGTTTGCACCCAATTTGATAACTGTGAAGAAATATGTATACTTTCAGGGGATAGGAGATATTAATGCACCTCCTGGATCAAGAGAAATTCAAATGAAGAAGAAAGGTAATTATATAATTTTCAAACTGCTTTTACAACTTTTCCCACTTTTCAAATGTGTTTGATGTAAGTCATTGGGGTAGTCTTGCTGTTGTGCTCAGATGAGCAATCCTAGACTATTGTAGTCGACAATAGTGTGCTCCTGCAGCACAAATGCGAGTAGCTTAGTAAAACTGGACTGTTCTTGTTGATAGCTTTTCATGGGCAACCACAGCAAAAGTGGCGTACTCATAATAGTATTTTGGCTGTTATGGCTGGAGAGCCGATGTGGCAGCACACCAAGTTGTTCAAGAACATGTAGAGGAGGGCAGTTTCTCTATTTCCCCCCACAAGGCAGTCTTTTCTTCTCTGTAGGTGGTCAGGGAACCAACCTCCTCTTCTTTCTCCTTTTCTGTGACTTTACCTGCCTCCTTTTGGAGCAATAGTTAATAAACTCTGGTATCAACATACTGCTGAAAATGAATATTTTGATCTCTGCTTACCTCCCTGCCTAAATCATGTTAATGAAATTAGTGCGGGATTTTTAGTGTCTACTGAATGTGGCATTCCGGCATTCGACAT